CACACTCGAATGTATCATGAAACAGTTCCTCATAGGGCTTCCTTCCTCAAAAAAATTTTTAGTGTAAGAAACTGAGATTTAAAAAAACCTCATAATTGGAGACAGAGGGTGGGCATCTTGTGAGCTGGTCTTTCTTCTGAGTTGCTTTGGTTTGATTTGTAATATGACTGGAGCCTGGGGCAATTTTCTCACCAGACTGCTTGTAGACTAGACCTCAAAGTCATCCCTAAACACCCTACATTTATCTAGTGATGAGGGAGACAAACAAACCTGGCCCTTGGAAATACTGTGATGTCATAACAATAATCTCTGCATGTCTGGCCCCTGTGTCCAAGAGGCCCTGGGAGAAAAAATTTAAAAAATCTGCATTTCTCTTTGTGTGTGTTTTTATGTCCCACTACTTGGCTGGAACTTCCACCCAGCACCTGGGAAAATAGACCCTGCTGACCAGCGGGACCTCTCCAAGGAGGCCCCAAACTCAACACTGAGCTCTATGATAAAGTAGAAGGGAAACACCAGCAACAGGCAATAGCACTCTCATCTGCACGTGAACAGAGTCCAGCTTGACCCTTGGTGTTCTGGAGCCCCTCCGTGTGCATGCTCATAGGTCACTGGCATTTTCCAGAGAGAAGATGGGGGAAACTTCTGGTTTCTAGAGTCTACAAGTGTCGTGCTCCCGCTGTCCAGACTCGGCTCCCAGGTAAGCACTCCTGGCCCCCCACCCAGGGGGCTTGACCACCATCTTCTCCTCATGGGGCTTTTCCCTAGCTCCAACAAATCTCTTACCTTGTAGCACACCCTTGGTATGTGTAGGGCAAGCTTCACCACCTTCTCCCCTTCAAAATACTGGGCCTCTTAAAAACAACCAACCAACCAACCAAACACAAACAGATTGACAATTCTGGGCAGTTTCCGCAAACTTACCGGAGGCTACTCACTCTCCTGCCCACACCCCTCTAAACCTCAGTTTTATCGAATATAACCTATACCGAGTATAACCTACCCACAATGAAATTCATTCATTTCATGTTTGGAGTTTAATGAGTCTGGGCAATTGTATACAGTCACGTAATCACCATCACAAAATATAGAACATTCCCCTCACCCCTAAAACTTCCCTCTTGCCCCTTTGCAGTCAATACCCTTCCCACATCTCTGGTTCCAGCCAACCACAGATCTGCTTTCTATCACTATAGTTTTGCCTTTTTCCAAATGTAATATAAATGGAATCATACAGTATGTAATATTTTGTGTATTGTTGATTTCATTCAACATAAGATTTGGGGGCTTCATTCATGTTGTAGCATGTATCAATGGTTCTTCCTTTGTATTGCTCAGTAGTATTCCATCGTACGCACATATCACTGTTCAGCCATTCATCAGCTGATGGGAATTTGAATTGTTTATCTTTTTGACTACTATTTTAAAAAGCTTCTATGAATATTTGCATACAAGTCTTTTTGTGAACATACACTGCCATGTCTCTTGGATAAATAGCTAGGAGTGGTATTGCTGGGTCCTGTGTACTTTTAACTTTATAAATCACTGTCAAACTGTTTTCCAAAGTGGCTGCATTCTTCTGCTTAGGCTACTTTTTAAATAAAAAGAGTGGGGAAAGAAGAAAGAGAAATAAAGAAAGAAAGAAAGAAAGAAGAGTGGGGGTAAGGAGGAGGGTGGTGGAGCCACTTACAATAAGCTTATAAAGTAGATACTTAATATCCCCATTTCCCAGATGAGGAAATTGAGGTTTAGAGAGATGTACTTCCCCAAAGTCACACACCTAACAAACAAATGGAAGAGCTGGGATGCCCAGGAGCTTGCTCCTGCCCTCTCCCACCTCTCTTCCCATCAGCCAAGTTGTCAGCTTAGGAACACTACTGCCTTGACATTCTAGACACCACCTTCACCTGGATCCTTACTATGCTAGGACACAGCAACCGTGAGAAGTGGCATTTGACTCCTTTTATCAGAGGCAGCAGCTAATGATTAGAAGTAACTTTCCCAAGGCCAACAGCCTCCTCCTTATAAAGATGCCCCTTCCCCTCCTCCACCCTGGGTTCATTGTAATGAACCTGGTAGAACAAGGTGGTCGCAGTCCCCAGCCAGCAATGGGAGTGAGAACTGGGAGGGTAGAGCACCAGCATTGGGCCCATGTGTGAGGATGCTAAGGGAGAGAATCAGGAAACAGAACTTTGCCTTCCTCAGGCCTGCTTCTCACCCAGGAGGCTGGGAGTGGGGGTGAGGGTACACCTAGCCGGGCCACGGATATAGACCCCTCCTGGTCCTGCCTGCTCCCCTTGGCCGAACTTGGGAGAACAGGATGAATCCCGAGGGGACAAGAGGCACCTCCAGCTTGTGCCTTAGCCAAAGCTGGAGGACCCTGGGGGGGAGGATGGGTGAAGGATGTCCCGCCCAGAAAGGTTATCGAAGAAGTAGCATTATATCACATCTATTGCTGTCCCTTCCCTATTGTCCCAGAGCCAGCCATCTCCCCACAGGTTCCTCTGCATTTGGTGTGTGTGTGTGTGTGCCCGTGTGTGTGTGTGCCTGACTCTGTGTGTGTGTGTGTGTGTGTGTAAAATGCAGGGAAGCCTGAAGAACCCCCAACACACACACACAGATACTCACACACATACTTCGAACTATGAGATGCAGCTCTGGCCTGAGAGAGCGCAGGACTCGGTTGAGAATACAAAGATCTGAGGGGCCTGAGTGGTGCAGTTGGTTAAGTGGCCGACTCCTGATTTTAGCTCAGGTCTTGATGATCTCACGGTCCTAGGATCAGTCCTCATGTCAGGCTGTGCACTTGGTGCAGAGTCTGCTTGAGTTTCTCTTTCCCTCTCCCTCTGCCCCTCCTGCTTGTGTCTCTCTCTGTCTTTCTCTCTCAAATAAATAAATATTTTTTCAAACGGGGGAGGGGTTAAGAGCCTGGGTGGCTCAGTTGGTTAAGCATCCAACTCTTGATTTCAGCTCAGGTCATGGTCTCAGGGTCATGAGATCAAGCCCCACTTCGGGCTCTGTGCTCTGCGGGGAGCCTGCTTGAGATTCTCTCTCTCCCTCTGACCCTCCCTCTGCTTGCACATGTGCTCTCTAAATAAATAAATAAATAAATAAATAAATAAAATCTTTTAAAAAAAGATTGGCCAGGTGACCACCCATGGCCAGGTGGCCACTCCCCTGTAGTGCTCAATGTTTACAGTTTTCAAAGTGCTTTCACCTCTTCTTTTACTTGATCCTCGCACCTACACTGTGAGGCTGGGGCCACTGTCTGCCTTCCACAGGCCAGAGACTGGTCTTCTTTACTGGGCCTTTCTGCCTGAGCTGTGTCCTTCAGAGCTGGAGCTGGGCTAACCTCCTTAGGATGAGAAGTGTCTCTGCTCTGCAGCTCCCATCCCCTGGTTGAGCAGAAGGCTTCAGCCTCATCCTTGAATACAGTGCCTGAGCATGCAAGGTCTCCCCCACCCCCAGCTGCTGCCCTCTCTCAGTCCACATTTTCCCCTCTCCCTCTGCTCCAAGACTCACAGATTATTCAGTAGCCCCCAAGGGAACCGCTCGGCATGCAATGCATGCAATCAAGAAGCATTTACTGAGCACTCTTTGCAATCCAGTACAAAAGTGAATGTGATTCAAAGGAGTTCACAGTCTGGGGAGGGGAATTGGCAGGCTGACATGTAAGCAAATGATGACATCAGGGCGATGAGAAGGGCTCTGCGAGGGCTAATTCTTCCTGGCCCAGGAATAAGTGCTATTCTGCCGCCCTTCCAGGAGTTTGGCCAATCCAGGAGAAAGAAACAGCAAGTGCAAAGGGCTGGAAGGAGGAAAGAACATGGTGCATCCAGAGAAGGGAAAGAAGTTCTCTGTGATTAGACCAGAATTTGGGGCGAGGAGAGAGAAGAGGCACATTGGGAGAGTAGGTGGGTTGGAGTCTGAAGGGCCTGTTACTCATTTAAGAAGTCTGGACTCTGCAGTAGGTTTAGTGTGTGTGTGTGTGTGTGTGTGTGCGCGCATTTGTGTGTATAGTGTGTATACATATAGTGATATATGATTGTATATAAATACATATGAATACACACACTGGTATCAGGTAAAACAATTTTTTTAGATGCTGGAGTACTAACAAATAAAAAAAAAGATGTTGAAGTCCTCCTATTTACCTTCATTTACTTGAACTGCTTATATATATTATATATTATATATATAATTATTATGCAGCACAAGGAATATTACACCTATTCTTCTATGTGTCACATTAAGCTTGTTTTATTTGATTACACATGGAATTCTCTTCTTGAAGATGTCTTCCGTTTTTTTTTTTCCTTTTCCTTTCTTTTTACTGTGCTAATGGTCGCCTGCCCCAAACCTCAGAAAAGCAGAAGGAACTTCGTCCTGAAATGTTTCCTTTCACTAAGTCTCAAGAGAGTTCTTGGAAAGATGCTGGCACAGCACGAAGTACACCTCAGCTGTTCATTCGGTTTGTGAACTGTAGATTCTGTGCCAGAGTCAGTGAAATTTCTTTTTTTTTTCCCCTTATAGTATCTCAACTTCCCGCAGCCCACCCTATGTGCCCAATAACAGCTCCATTTAGTGACATCCGCTAAAGTTTTATCTAGAGAAGTTTTCCCTCTGTATTTCCCCTTTATTGGAAAAAAACAATGGGACACAGAGGAGTCCTGGGACTACGCTTCCCAGCAGCCTCCGTCCGGCTTCTACTCCAACTTCCCTCACAGGGGCGGCTCCTAGCATCTGGGCCCTGCCCACTGGCATCGTATTTAGAACTACAACTTCCAGATGCCTCCACGTGCCGGACCTTTCAAAGAGGGCTTCCCAGCAGCCTCCCGGGTGAAGAGCCCCGCCCCTCGGGGCGGCTGCCGAGGCTTTCCCGGCGCCTTCCGCCCGCCTCACCCATGTCACGTGATGCACCCCCACCAACCGGCACGGAGAGGAGGGCGGCGGGCGGTGGCCAGAGGCGGGGAGGCCGCAGGGGGCGGGCCCTGGAGGGGGCGGAGCGGGGCCCGGGAGCCGAGCAGCCTGGCAACGGCGGTGGTGCCCGGAGCCCGAGGTGGGTGCGCGCTCGCGGCTGGCCTGGCTCTGAGCCGGGCGCTGCGGGGACCTGTGGTGGGAGAGCCGGGAGGAGGAAGTTGGGACTCCCCGGGCCGACGGGTCCGGCGGGTCCTCGCTGCACCCGCGGGTGTAGGTGGGGGGGGGGTTCGCCCGAGCGCCTCGCTGTCCCTGCCGGCCAGGGCTGAGTGAGGCCGGGCAGCCGCAGGCAGGTGCCTCTGGCTTCCTCCTGTTCTCCCCGCCCAAGGTCCCGGGCCGGCGACGGGCGAAGGTCGGGACGGGGATCGGGGCCGAGGGGGGAACTCTGGGGGCGTCGCGGCCGCTCCCCGGACTTTGCTTCCCCGTCCTGGAGCGGCGAGCCGGCTGGGCGGCCGTCCTGCCTCCCAGGCGACGCGCGGCGGCTGGTCCTCGCCTTGGCCCTCCGCCTGGAGTGGGTGCCCGCCGCATCCCCAGTGGGTCCTGCGGAGCGGCCGCAGCCCGGCGTTGGCCGGGAAGCCCCATGGGGTCTCTCTAACAGAGTTTCGGTGTCACGCACGGGAGGTTTATCTGCTCTTGCAACAGTTGAGAGAAGATCTGAGAGGGAACGGTTAGTTCCCTGATACGCAGTCGGAAGTGTGCACAGGCACGAGCAAGCGCCCTTTGCCGGGTTGCCTCCCTTAACTGTCTTGCTGCGCTCAGGAAGTGAAAACTAATTTTAGTTTTTGCCTAAGCAAATATGAAATGAATCTGCTGCAAAGATTATATTATGGGCTTTATAGACGCATACTAAGTATGAGGTGTAGTGAATTGTGACTGGTTTTTAAGTAGACATAATAGACCTTCACAAGAATGAAATCGTGGCATATTAGAATTGACTGGGACCTTGAAGTTCTTAGTTGTTCGTTTCCAGGATGGGGAAACTGAGGCCCAGAGAGTGTAACGCTGTATAATATTGTAATAATATGACCCAAGATTTGGGGCAACCTGATGGCAAAGCTAACATCACAAGTCAGGTCTCTGGGGGAGTATCTTGGCCTCTGCCTAACCCGGGTACTTTTTTTTTTTTTATCACAGCTTAGTTTGTTCCTTATAAAGTATCCACCTTAGAGCCTTGAAATCGAGCCAGTGCTTTTGCTTTAGTTCAAACCATTTTGAATTTCCTTCAAAACCAGTTTACCAGCCAAATAAGGCAATTAGGCGTGTTAATTTATAGACACATTTTGCTTTCATCCAACATATATTTTGGGCACGATCACTTATTGCTCACCAGATTTGACTCAATGGCTTTTGGCAGTTTCACAAAACCATATCTATCCTTGAGAGATTCCACACCATGGAGTAGATTCAAACCAGTGAAAGTAGAGAAGATTCATTGGGGCGTTTAGATTCTAGTTATTAAATGCTTTTAAACAGTTGGGTCTCCTTACCTTAAAGTTCTAACTTATATTTATCAGGTTGTCAGCGGCTTCATTTACCCATTATACCCAGAATGCCCATAGTGTGCCTGCGGCGTGCCAAACACCGAGAAGACAGCAGACAGCACCACTAAGTCCCTGCCTTACAGAACTTATGTGTGGGGAAGCAGAGAATAATAAAAAAAAAGCAATGATATATTTTCTAGTGGAGATGAGCACTATGCGGAAAAATAGAGCTCTGAAACTCTATGATGTCAATAAAACAGGCTGGCATGTTTGAGAGTGACTTGGGAATTACATTGAATTGTTAGTTTTAAGAGTGTCAGCTGCTGCTCCATTAAAGCAAATAATGAAATCCAAAAGTAAATCTGTCTAAATCAAAGAGATTTTATGGAGTCCTCATTTCTCTGGCGATTGCCTCTTGGATCATAAATTCATCCTAGCCTCATTTTTACTTGCATTTTTTTCTCTTATATGCAAACAGTAAGTGCTTTCAAACACCTAGGGAGGTGGTCTTCCAGTCGCTCCCTGTCTCAGTAGTTCCCTTACTCTAGCTACAGAAGGCTCTGCTGAGCTCAGTATTCCTTGTTGATTTCATGTCAGTGTCTGCCTGCCTCAGGCTACCTTAGGCAGCGATTTCTTTTCCTGCACTCTGGTTTGTACTGAGAACCTACCATCTGAAACCATTGTCAGTCTTTGGGTTGTGTGGTTTGTAAAGAAACGAGTTCATTTTGATGTTAGCTGTAGCGTAAAGAAGCATTCAACTTCTTAAAAACTAAAGCGGTAGTAAAATGGCATGCATGGTGGCTTACTATACAAGTTCATCTGTTTAGTACCTCTTCTCTCATATTCTGTATGTTCAATGGCTTCAAAGCAAATTTTTTCATTTTTACAGGTTCTAAAAAATGACTAAACTTATAAACAAATACTCAAATATTCTTTGTTCCAAAATGAAAGGAGGATTAACAAAATGTAGTTACTTTAAAAACCACTGAAAGAACATGTGGTTCTTGCTCTTATTGAGGGCTCCAAAATCCAGAGAAAAGCAGAGCCTCTTCAAGGCTTAGTAGGCAACATTTTGAACTGGTGGCCAAAGGATTTCAAAGGCCAGAGTTTCTTATTTCTAAAGTTTTTTTTCATTTTATAGAAGAATAAGAGGTTGCTTTCATTATTCTTTAGTAATTTCCCTTCCCTGCATCTGACCTCTTTGAAGTTCTGCTTTCTTTATTTTCTAGTTTCTCAGTTCATTATTCTTTTTTGGCAGATGGGGGAGGGACAGGGGCTGCCATTTGCCTGTAAGGTATTGACCCTGGATTTGAATCCTGGCTCTAATATTACCTGTGTGACTTTGGGTGAGTTACTTACCCCTGTGCCTCAGTGTCCTTACCTGTAAAATGAAAATAATAATACGAATAGTACCTGCCTCAAAGGGTTGTTGGCCAGACTGAATGCTAATCTATGTCCAGTGCTTAGAATAGTGTCTTGCACATAGCACACACTCAAGAAAAGTTAACTGTTACTGACTAGGACTACATGGAACTCCCTTGTTTGCTTTTAAAGATTTATTTATTTGAGAGAGAGAGAGAGAGCATGCAAATAGGGGGAGGGGCAAAGGGAGAGGGAGAGGGAGAGAGAGAATCCCAGGCAGACTCCCTGCTGAGCGTGGAACCTGACAGGAGGCTCAATCCCAGGACCCTGAGATCATGACCTGAGCAGAAATCAAGAGTCTGACACTTCACCCAGGCCCCCCCCCCTTGTTTGCTTTCAAAGAAAAAGAATGATTCTAGACATGTCCTAATACACTTTTGGATGTCCAGTAAGCATGATTTTCCCTTTTACTATTTGGACTCAGAAATTACTTGAGACCATATTTTGTTTGTTTCTACAAACATGACTAGAACAAGAAAGGCCTTCTTCCAGTTCCTCTGCTTTGAAAGCAGGAGGGTACCAGGAGACCCAGTTGGAGTCAGTCAGGTGAGATCCAGTTGCCATCCTGTAGTTGGAGGACAGTTCTTCACGTTAAATGTTTACAATGTGTTTTTCCACCTGAGCACCTAGACAGTCTCATCCTTTTCTTTTTAAGAATGCAGTGGGCACCTGTTTAGAACATTGGCATCATGCACTAGCACTTTCTTTCTGTTTCTGAGGAACAAGAAATGGTAAAGGAGCTCTTTGTCTGTGTGCGGTGGCCGAAAGCTTCCTGAGTTTGGATTCTGGAAGCCAGGTTCAAGTCCCATTTCTGCCCCTTCTTAACTCTGTGACATTGGATAAGTCATTTTACCTCACTGCTGCTGCCTCCTCCATTTGTAAGACAGAGCAGTGAGCCCCGCCAAGCTCCCAGAGCTTTCCAGAGAATCAAATGTACATCAGTACCCCTTTGTAGGCTGTGCAGCGTTATTATTGCATTCATGTATTATATAGGCCGTGGCTATTTGGAGAACTGGTGTAAGAGAGCAGGGTCCTTCCTGTCCTTGGCCCCCCTCCCCCATAGCTGTAGGTGCAGCCTCTCTGCCTTGCTCTCCCTCTTCTGTCAGCATTGAAATATGCACGTGTTTGATTGCCTCTCTCAAATGGACCTGAAGCCATTGGTACTTACGAGCTTCCATTTTATTGATTCCTAAAATGGTAGTACTGCATAACCAACAATGACAGGGCAATAGCAAGGCAATCTCTTGCACCAGGGAATATTGCCTGCCTTTTTCTGCAGTGTTTCAGAATGAAAATCTTTCCTTTTTCAAATCAACACCTTACATTAGCTCCTCAGTGCAGCTTGAGGCCCTGCCAAGCTCCTCCATCCATACTAGACTGGATGCTCTACTCAGGGGCTTAGGATGGGAAGAAATACAGGGCCTTGATTGCTCTCCAGGTCTATGCTGCCTTTCTTGTTCCAACAGAACCAAAACAGAGTGCTGTTTTCTCATTATTTGAAGTTGTTTCTCAGTATCTTGAAATGACTCCATAAGTAGCTCTTTGAAATGTCGCGTACTCGTGTTCATCCAGTACTGCTGCGTCTCCCCTCTTTGTCTTGATATGTAATACCTGCATATTTCAGCATTACTTGTTTCATCTTCCAAGCTTGTGCAGAAAGGGGCTGAGGTTGGAGACGTTTTTTCCTGGGCAGGTGAAACCTAACATGGCCCTCCACACACAGTAGACATTTAGTACATGCTCTTTGACTTGAGCTGGACAAGGAAGGGATAGTTCAGAGTTGTTTGGATGTGTCCATTTCAGCAAATTCGGTTGTATGTACAGAGACCATATCTCCTGACTGCAAGATGAAATGGAGCTCATGCTCAGCCTTCCTTGTTGTGGTCAGTTAGCAGATGAATAAGAAAGTTCTTTGAGTCCAGTGATGGGAGAGGTCTTACACGTTGCATTCCCAGCCTCTGGATTTTTGGACTATTGTCATGAGCAGTTTTAGAATAGGTTCATTTTTGTTTTGCTTGTTGGTATGTTTGGGGGTGGGAAGGGGTAAGGGAAGTTGAAGGGTAATAATTGAAAGTAAAAATAAAAGTAACTTGTTTGTAACTCATTCTGTTCTCATTCCCTTGCCTACAGACCTTGACAACACAGTGATGTCCTTTCATTAACTTGTGATAATTGTTCTATATTGATATCATGTCCTTGGGCTTTCCGTGAGAAGGAAGCATTGTTTCCCAGAGCCTCTTTTTTTTTTTTTTTAAAGATTTTATTTATTTATTTGACAGAGAAAGACACAGCGAGAGAGGGAACACAAACGGGGAGTGGGAGAGGGAGAAGCAGACTCCCCGCCGAGCAGGGAGCCCGATGCGGGACTCGATCCCGGGACTCCAGGATCATGACCTGAGCCGAAGGCAGTCGCTTAACCAACTGAGCCACCCAGGCGCCCTTCCCAGAGCCTCTTAAAACGGAACGGGCTGCTACGTCACGGCACCATGCTTTCCCCTTCAGGGAGCTCTTGAGGCCGAGGTGGCCATAAAGGGGATTCGTGGCATCAGATGGTGGTGCTTGAAATGCCCTCGTCTGAGCCTTAAGTTCCTTTTCGGCCCCGAGATGACTTAGGTGGGGACTCAGGAGAACAGGGACTGTGTTGTCAGGGTTCGTTCCAGCAGTCCTGGAATTGACCTGAGCTGTTTTGCTAAAAGAAGAAATGCACCTGCGGGACAGTGACCCCCAGCCATGCTTGTCAGTAGTACTGAGTGGGTCACAGTGACAAGGAAGATCCGCACTTGGTTTCAGGGAGACACAAGGAGACCACTGCCCTTGACACTAGTTATGTGGCGGGCAGGATATGCGAAAGCTCAGTGGACATTCCGTTTTGAGCTTTCTGGTCCTGATGTGTTCCTTGCCCACATTGATACTTCCACATCTGAGAAAGGGAGTCCCTAGATGGAGGGCAATTGGAGCTGGCCCTCACCTCTTTGTAGTTCTTGCTGTGAGGCCGAACAGCTGAGTTTTTAAAGTTGAGGCTGAGTGCAACCCTGCTGGCCATTTCCTTTCTTTACTGTTACCAGCTCTGACATGACATGATCATTTCTCCAGAGGTCCCCATCACCTCTGTGCCACAAAACAGTTTTTCCTTGTTGCTAATTGTCCAGATGCTCCTGCCCTTCCTCGGCTCCTGGGAGCTTAGGAGAAATGCAGAATTTGAGGCCCCTCAGATCTACCCAGCCAAGAATCTGCATTTTAATGACACCCCTAGGTGATCTGTATGTACATTAAAGTTTGAAAAGGCTGGTTTAAGTAATAGTTCACATCCTGGCTTCCCCATGATCCTTTGAGACCCTGTGGTCCATTAGAAAGATAATTTGAGCCACATGTGTAACCCATGTTCCTAGTAGCCGCATTGAAAGAGAAACAGATGAAGTTGATTTTTATAATATATTTAACCTAGTAGATCCAAAATATTATTTCAACATGCAATCAGTGTAATGATTAGTGAGTGGTCTCCCCTCCCCTTTTTTTGTATGAAGTTGTGAACATCTGGCACATACTTTACATTTACAGCACCCCTCAAGTGGGACTAGCCGTATTTCAAGTGTGCAGGGGCTACGTGGACTAGTGGCCCCCGTGTTGGACAGCGCAGCTTTGAGAGATACATCCTGGCCTTGATTTGCTGATGATGTCATCAGATTTGCTGTCAGTGCCTGAAGAGCAGTTAGAGCCGGGGTCGCCTCAGTAATAACTTGCATTAACGATCCGTGTAACCTGTGGCAAACCCTTTGCCCGTTGGGATTATGCACATCCCATTTGAATCCTCACAACATCCCCACTTTACTGAAGACCATTCTTCCCTCTGCTCCAGTTTGGTAAGCAGTTTGAAGAATTCGCCAGTGGTATATATGTGAAATGCAGGCTTTTTTCTTGGGTACCGGTATCTGCAAAGAACTCGAGGATTACACCCTTCCTCTCTGGCTCACCCAAGAGGGTGCGGAGTCCCTAAATAGAAGTTTCCATGTGCTGGAATACTGCAGATCAGTGGTTTGCCACGCTGGCTCTCATTAGAATCACCTGGGAGCTTTAAAGACCTGCTGCCCAGGCCCCACCCACTGACGTTCAGATGTACTTAATCTTGGGGGAGATCAAAGGTGTGCATTTTGTGCAGTGCTCCGCCTGCCGCTCAGCTCGAGAACAGCTGCTATAGGAGCGTGTCTCCAACCTGGGTAAGCCGAGAACAACCCGCACTTCGGGTCCAGATTCCGACTCAGTGGGTCTGCCGGGCGGGAGAGCCGGCTTCAGTTGCGGCGAGCTCCCAGGCTCTGTCACTGGCGCTTTGACTTTGGGTAGCCGGCCGCCTCGGGATCACCTGAGGGCGTTTCCCAAAAGACAAGTTCCCTGGCGGCAAGCCTGGAGTTTCTGATTCAGGGGGTGCGGGGTGGGGCCCAGGAGTTGTACTTGAGAAAGCACCATGTTTTCCGTATTACACCACGAAGTATTAGGTTTACTTTAGGTTTTGTGTAGGCACAGTTCTAGTGCATGTTTGTTTTGGCCTAAGTGGATGTTGAATGATACCAAACTCCTTTTCTGCCTTTACGGAGCTCTGTTTTTTTCCCCCTTGGCACCTGTTAAGCTGATGGGGTATTTTAAGGGATTTTCTAATACAACATTGTAGCATTAACCCGGTTTGCCTGCTGGGGTGAAACCAGCATGTTTCTTACTGCTGGACTTGATTGGTAGTATTTTCTTCAGGATTTTTACATCTGTATTTGAGAGTGAGATTTGGCTTTCCTCTACTATCTTTGCCTAGTGTCAGTTTGCTAGCCTTGTAAAGTGAGTGAGAGCATTCCCTTTTTCTGGTATCTGGAAGTTCCTGTAAGATTGGAATTACCTGAATTCTTGAATGTTTGGTAGGACTTGCCCCCAGAGCCACCTGGGCCTGGTGTATTTGGTGTGGGAAGATGTTAAACTACCAGTTAATATCTGCCATTATCTGTGGTTATGTCTGTCTTTTCATTTTTTTAATTTTTTTAAGATTTATTTATTTGAGAGAGAGAGAGAAGGAGCGGGAGGGGCAGAGGGAGAGAGATTCCCAGGCCGACTTGGTGCTGAGCCAGACGCAGGGCTCAATCCCATGACCCCGAGGTCGGGACCCAAGCCGAAACCAAGAGTCGGATGCTTAACCGACTGTGCCACCCAGGCGCCCCTGTCTTTTCATTCTTTTTTTTTTTTCTAAGATTTTTATTTATTTAACAGAGAGAGAGAGAGAGCATAAGTAGGCAGAGCGACAGACAGAGGGGGAGGGAGAAGCAGGCTCTCCACCGAGCAGGGAGTCCAATGCGGGGCTCGATCCCAGGACCCTGGGATCATGACCTGAGCCGAAGGCAGCCACTTAACTGACTGAGCCACCCAGGCGCCCCTGTCTTTTCATTCTTAAATCTTAATATTGTTTGTACCTTTTTTTTTTTTTCTTAGTCTTACCAGAGGTTTGTCAGTTGTGGTTATGCAGTATGTTTGTCAGTATGTGGAAATGAATGAACATAATTATATTCTCCAGTTTCTTTTTGATTTTTAATGAGTAAAAATTTTACATAATTTTATTTTTATTTTTTTTGAAGATTTTATTTATTTATTTGACAGAGCGAGCACAAGCAGGGGGAGCAGGGGCAGAGGGAGAGGGAGAAGCAGACTCCCTGCTGAGCAGGGAGCCCAATTCGGGGCTCCATCCCAGGACCCCGGGATCACGACCTGAGCCAAAGGCAAAGGCAGATGCTTAACCGACTGAGCCACCCAGGAGCCCCTTTATATAATTTTAAAGTCAAATTTACATCAGGGTGTTTTACCAAGAAGCCTTACTTCCATCTCTGCCTCTTGCCAGGCATTCTGTTTCCCCCACCCCGTCCCAGGTAATCAACATTATTAGGTTTTAGTTTATCCTTCTGTTTCTTCTTCTTTTTTTTTTTTTTAATATAGAACGCTTCACAAATTTGTGTGTCATCCTTGAGCAGGGGCAGTGCTAATCTCTGTATCATTCCAATTTTAGTATATGTGCTGCCGAAGCGAGCACTCTTCTGTTTCTTCTGTCGTGAGTGCGCGCGCACACGCACACACACACACACACACACACACACACATTTGCATTTCCCCCCTTACACCAAAAAAGCATATTACATACACTATTCAGTCTCTTTTTTTTTTTTCCACTTAAAATATATCCTGGAAATCACTCTTCATTTTCTCCTCTCTTTGAATTTATTTTGTGGTTTGGATGTTTCAAAACATTAGAATTATTATTATTTAGTTCTAGGATAGCCTCATTTCTGTTGTGATTATTTCATTCACCTATGGGTTTAGAAGTATATTTTTAAATTTACAAATACATTTTCTAGGTATTTTTAGAACTGATTTCTAACTTCACTGCATTATGGTTACGGACTGTGGTCTGAATACCAGCAGGTCTTTGGGATGTGTTGAGGGTAGGTTTATATAGTGTTTTGTGGTTGGCTTCTTTCACTTAGCATAATGCTTTTCAAATTCATCCATGTTGACTCACAGATCCACAGTTGGTGACTTTCTGTTGTTGAGCAGTGTTCCACAGTTATTTGTTTATTCACTAGTTGATGAACATTTGAGTTGACTGAGTTTTTGGCCATGGTGAATAAAGCTGCTATGAACATTTGCTTACGAGTCTTTGTGTGGACTTGTGTTTTCATTTGTGTAAATACTTAGGTGGGGCATCGCTGGGCGGTATGCTTACTGTATGTTTAACTTTACAAGAAACCGTCAAACTATTTTCTAAAGCGCTTGTGCCAATTTGCAAAGTAAAGTATGAGAGTTCTGCTTGGGCCCATATCCTCAACTCTTGTTATTGTCTGTCTGGTTAAATTGTAGCCATTCTAGTGGGTGGGTAATGGTAGCTCACTGTGATTTTAATTTGCACGTTCCCAATGACTAATGATGGGCGATGAGTATGTCTTCATGGGCTCATTAGCCATTTGTACATCTTTGGTGAAGTGTTTGTTCAAATCTTTTGCCTGTTTCTTATTGGATTGCCTGTCTTATTAAATTTTAAGAGTTCTTTATATATTTTGATTATAACACCTTTATGAGATCTATGATTGGCAAATACTTTCTCTCAGACTACAGCTTACCCTTTCACTTTCTTAATTGTGCCTTTGAAAAAGAGCAAGGTTTTTAATTTTGATGATGTCAGGTTTATCATTTTTTTCCTCTTCAGGTTTATGCTTTTTGTGTTCTAAGAAATCTTTGCCTAACCTAAGTTCATAAAGATTTTCCCTTGTGTCTCCCTCTAGGACTTTTGTAGTTTTAGTACTTATTTATGTTTAGATCTCTTATGTCTTCCCCCCCCTACAGGTTCATACCCTGTATAATCCCCTTCCCTTGAGTTTACAGCCTTGTGAGACCTTGAGGAGAGGATCCAGCTAAGCTGTGCCAACTCCTGACCCATGACCCACAGAAACTGCACGATGATTAATGTATGTTGTTTACAGCTACTAAGTTTGTTATGCAGTAATATAAAACTAATACTTTTTAAAAAAGATTTATTTATTTGAGAGAGAGCGAGCGCGTGCAAGCAGTGGAGGGGGAGGGGCAGAGGGAGATGGAGGGAGAGAATCCCAAGTAGACTGCAGGTTGAGTGTGGAGTCTGACATGGGTCTCCATCTCACAACCCTGAGATCATGACCTGAGCCAAAATCAAGAGTCAGATGCTTAACCGGCTGAGCCACCCAGGTGCCCCTAAAACTAGTACTTCGATGCTTCATTTCAACTTGATTTTGTATATTGTATGAAGTAAGGGTCAATATTCACTTATTTTTTATATGGATATCAAATTGCTCCAGCATCATTGGTGGAAAAGACTATCCTTTTCCCACTGAATTACCTTGGTACCTTTTTTTGGAAATCAGTTGGCTGTTGCTAGGACCTCCAAAAGATGGGTCTCATCCTGAAGCCAGTCTTTGGCAATTCCTTTGGACAGTTTTTTATTATGGCAAGCTGCCTGCTGGGCAGGCTAACTAGTCCTGCCAGTATCACACAGTCTTGATTACTGAGGCATTTTTAGTAAGTCTGGAAATTGGATAGTGAAAGTACTCCAACTTTTTTTTTTCCCCTTCAAGGTTGTTTTGGCTCTTCTTGGTCCTTTGCCTTTCCATATAAATTTCAGAATTGTCTTGTCAATTTCTGCAACAAAGCCCATTGGGATTTCACAGGGATGGCATCGAATCTCTAGATCAATATTGACATCATACCAATGTTGAGTCTTCTGATCCTTGAGCGGGATATGTATTTCCATGTACTTAGGTCTTCTTTAATTTCTCTCAGCAGTGTTTTATAGTTTTCCATGCATGGTTCTTGTATACATTTTGTTAAATGTATCCCTAAAGATTTCATTTTTTTATATTATGCAGGTGATTTTTTTTACACTTTCATGTCCGTTTGTTCATTGCTAGCAATACAAATATCATGGGTTTTTATGTTGACCTGCATATCTGCAACCTTCCTAAATTTACTTACTGGTTCTGGTAGTTCTTCTACAGTATTCTTGGGATTTTTTGCATACATGACCATGTTGTCTGCGAATACAATTTTACGTCCAATATGTTACGACTTTCATTTCTTCTACCTTATTAAACTTGCTAGGATCTCTAAGAGCTATGGAATGCAAGCAATAAGAGCAACCACCCTTGCCTTGTTCCCACACTTTGTGGGAAAGCATTCCATCTTTCATCATTAAGTATGATATTAGCTATAGGTTTTTCATAGGTGCTCTTGACTATTCCTAGTTTGCTGAGGGTTTTTTTTTTTTAAATCATGATTAGATGTTGAATTATGTTTGTATAAGCCATGTCTCAGATACAATCTTTAGGAAGATAGTATACATCATGAATAGCCTTGTCGACTTGACATAATCACCACATTACTATCCCTTACCAACCACCACTATCCAGCTTTTCCTCCTGTTGCTAACAGAATTTCCATCTGGAGCATGGGAATTTTTTTTTCTATTCTTCTATGGAGCAGCATATATTGCTCCTTCAAAAGCCGTGGAAATTCTCTGTCAGATGCGTATATGTCATTGTTATGGTACTGGCAATTCTTCATCTTCTGACACCCGGTTTGGTTCCTCTTCATCTCCTTGCCTTTTTTATTTCTGCCTTTTTCCTTAGATTATTTTCTCACATCTATGAAAACCTTCTCCCTGCTAATAGTGCCAAGCTTCAGAAGTGTGTGTGTGTGTGTGTGTGTGTGTGTTCATGTGTTCGGTCCTTCACCTTCTTGTATGGCTTGGGTGATTGACCACTGTATTTATGACTGATTGCCCTACTCTGGGTCACTGCATGTCGTTCTCTTTCTGAATCTCCAAGGCATCTAATGAAGCCAATCTTTAGAGATCCCTTTGCACACTTCTCTTAACTATTATGGCAAATTGCTTATTCAGCAGGCTAGGTAGTCCTGTTGCTGATTTCTGCTAACCTTCAAGGTCAACCTGCTCTTGTAAATTAGGACTAATAAAGATGTATCATGCCCAGCGTTTGCAGCAGTTGGCCACATTCAAAAACCTCACCTGCTGCTTTTTCCTTCTGGCCCATGTAGAGAAGGGACAGGAAACTCTATAAAACTATCCAGCCCGTTTCTGGAACTCTTTGGAATTGCCTTCAGGCACCTTTTAAAAAATATCCTCAGTGGTGTCAAATCTTTGGGTGAGGACTGGGCATTTGGCTTCAGGCCGAAATGAGACTCCTCTGTTAAATAGAGTGGGCACCCATGCAGTGGGAAGCATTATTTTTCATTGAAAAACTGAGATGTGATAAAATTCATGAGATGATGTCTTATGTAGCTCTAAACTCTAAAGGCAGTTTCAAGAGAAGAACTGGAAGAATACTTTGAATGGTGATGGGGCGCCTGGGTGGCTCAGCCGGTTAAGCGTCTGCCTTTGGCTCAGGTCATGATCTCGGGGTCCTGGGATCCAGTCCTGCGTCGAGTCCCACATCGGCGCCCCCGCTCGGCAGGGAGCCTGCTTCTCCCTCTCCCTCTGTCCTCCCCCCCACTCATGCTCTCTCGTGTGTGCTCTCTCAAATAAATAAATAAAATCTTTTAAAAAATACTTTGAATAGTAGCGGTGTTACTGGAATAAGTGCACATGACCAAAAGGGCCTGCTTTGAAGAACCCCGGCTCCATATGCTCTGCTAGGCATTTTAACAAAGGCCCCCTTACATCACAGTTGTACCTCATGGGGTCTGTATTTGATTTTTGTCCACTAATAATGAAATTTTTCCATCTTTTTGATATACTTGGAAAACACTCTTCCATGATACAAAGTAATATCGCGGTGGGCAAACAAGAAAGAAGGTACTGGTTCACTGCCTCCGAAACATGGATGTGGGGAGAAGAGGCCCTATTTGTTTACTCGTCTGTTAAATGGAGGCTAGAGTTCCTGTTTGTGACCATCCAATTTTATCACGTAGAGATGGCATTCCCAAAAAAACCTTTTGTATTCAGCTGTGAAAGCATGAAGCATTCCTCATTTGACTGTCTACCAGAGAACCAGAGCCACAAATATCTGTTAGTGGGCAAGAGGGTCAGACTGACTGGGTTTGAATTCTAGCTTTGACAGTTCTTAGCGGACACATTCTTTAACCTTCCTATTCCCTGGGGTTGTGTGTTTTGATATGAAGATAGTAATAGTAGGGTTATAAGGTTGTTGGGTGGGGGGATCGAATGAGTTCATCTATGCTTAGAACAATGCCTGGCACATAGTAAGGGGTCAGTAAATGAAAGCCATGATCATTATCCACGAGCAGATGTTCTATTTTGATTTTTAACCTGTATGTTTGGCTTTATTACTATTTAATTTCTATCTATTCATTATCTTCATTGCTGTTTCACTTATATTTATTCATCTCCCCAACTCAGTTGCTAGCTCCTTGAAGATAGATCTCAGTTTTTTTTTTAGAACTTCCTACTGTGGTCCAGAGTAGTTGCCCAGTATATATTTATTAACTGATTTTGGACCTCTTTGGAAATAATTACATATGCTGAGCAAG